CTCTCTCGCATCTCTCTCTCTCCAGATTCATGTCGCTCTCGTTTTTCTTCTTCACGCTTTTTGACACCGGATTCCATTTTGCTCTCGCTTTCATACTCGCTCCCGTCGTTGCCCTCCGTACCCACTTCGGCTTCTCTTCTCTGTCTGCGTAACTTCGTCCGACTGTTCCTCCTCTTTTTCCCTCTGCTTGTTCAATTTTCTCGTGCCGCCGCTCCGTTTCTCTCTCTGTTTTTCATCTGACATCTATTTTCCTCTTCTGTTTCTCATCGCCTATGACCTTTCTCAATTCTCGCATGATTGTCCCATTCGCTTCTTTCCCGTCGTTCTACCTTTTATCTCATCTCTCTTCCCCGTCAGTCCGTTCCTGCTCTTTCTGACGTCTCTTCTCATTTCTAGTCTCTCTCTCTCTCTCTCTCTCTCTTTCTCTCTCTCTCTCTCTCTCTCTCTCTCTCTCTCTCTCCCTTCCTGCCTTTCAGACGCGTTGTCCGATGTCTCTCCTCTCCTTTCTCGTTGTCTACTGCTCTCATGTGGCTTTCTTCGCTCGCCTCTACCCTCCTCTCCCATTTGTTTGCCTGCTTTGCTGACTTGCGCTCAGGTGTGCACGACCTGCCACTGCCCCTGGGCTCTATCGTCTCGTTCGAGCCATGTTCTCTCTCTCTCTCTCTACCTTTTTGTCTCTCTACCTCGCGCTCTCTCCCCTTGTCTCCCTCTTTCTTTCTCTGTGCAACCGTCCTTTTGTTCCTCCATGGGTTAAGGGATATCTATGGAGTCATTGCGAAGTGTAGGTGGGGAAGTTGATGGCAGGCTAAAGTTGGCTATGGAGGTAAAGTATTGATAGGTGGATATGTGTAGATGCTACCTTCTTCAACCGAATACAACGTACGTTCATTATTGTGGTATTTAGACTGAAAGATACCCCGTACGTTAATTATTGTGGTATTTAGACTGAACGATACCCCGAATACAGCCATAACGACTACGTTGTATTCGGATGAGGGACAAAGTGGGTATGGAGTCAAGTGTAGGTGTTTGGATGTGTTCTAGGGGTTCATGTTACCCACTCGCGGCCGAATTTGGCCCTAACCTACGACTTGGTTCATTCGCTCGACAAGGGGGGAGCACAAAACACGCAGTATTATTGATTTCTGACGAGGGGTTCATGTTACCCACTCGCGGCTGGGCGCAGATTTATGTCCAGTCTACTGACCTCTTCCCCCCTCTCTCCCGGCGCCCCCCCCCCCTTTCCCCCTTTACTTTGTTTTTTTGGCTTTTTTTTTTAATTAGACCACTTTTCGATGATTTATGCGTGGCATCTTTGCGCAGGGGCTTTGCGAATCTTCTGTATATCTCCAATTTTAACGGATGCCCCGAAGGACCGGCCCCCCTTTTCCCGCTCACACCCTATTGTGCTTGTTTTACTCGCTTTTTCCTCCCAAGGCACTTTTTTTTTTGTTTTTTGTTTTTTTTTGTATAAAATCCCTCTCAATGCGCGGCGTTGAGGGACTAAAAAAAAAAGGAAAGGTGTTGCCTTCAGTCGAACCCTTGCTTTCGCCATTGCATATATATTTTGTTTTACTGAGGCCATATTTACGAGTGCTTCCCGGTCCTTCTTTTCGTTTTCGAGCTCCCCCTTTCGTTCTGACGCCCCCCCCCCTCTCCCCCTTCCTCCCCCCCCCGGGCTGACCCTCCTGTTTCCCTTGTTCCTGGGAACGTGTTCATCGTTTTTTCTTGTTTTTTTTTGTTTTGTTTTTTGGGTCAAAGGCTGACCCCAGGTAATCCAGCGGGAAATTATCCATCGGGCCCTGGATTTTTTTCTTTCTTTTTTTTTGTGGATTTTTTTCATGTTGTTTTGTTTTGTTTTGTTTTTTGTGTGTCCAAAAGGCCGAATCCCGAGGGGTAAGTACTGTATAAGTAATTTATTGTTCACCTCTGTTAATCCGATAATACCCGCTCTCTCAGCGTAAGTCGAATCCTTTGCCGTGATTTAATTTATTGATTTAATTTACTGACTCTAATTTCCCTTGTTCCTGGGAACGTGTTCGTCGTTTTTTTTTTTTTTTTTGTGTTTTTGGGTTCAACTGGCCGACCCCGGGGAATCCAGGTAGCTGTAAGTAATTTATTAAATAAATGTTCTGAATCCATCGGGATTCGAGCTCATGTCTGTTAATCCTATAATATCCGTTTCCGCTCTCTCAGGGTAAGAGGAATCCTTTGCCGTGCACTACCGCGTCTTCACCTGAATAGAGCGCCCAGTCATTGTCACTGCATCTGGACTGGAAGTGAGCCCAAATACAGTTACAGTGAACGGGGGTTCTATTCGGGTGTATAGATGTAATTTTCTCCTTAAATTAACGCGAAAATTCGGCGGTAGTTAATCCAGTGTGTATTTCACTGTGGAGTATTGCGGCTCTCTCTCTCTCTGTCTCTCTCTCTCTCCCTCTCTCTCTCTCTCTCTCTTTCTGTATCTCCCTTTCCCTCTCTATCCCTCTCTATCTCTCTCCCTTTTCGTACGTCCTTGTAGTCTTTTCTTCGCGCAACACTCCAGTCGGCTATGGCCTTCAGCTCTACGCTGTCGAACTCACATGGGTATCCATCGCTATTTTATTTTTATTATTTGTATTTAAAAAAAATATTATTACTAATATTTTTCGGGTCATCTCTACTTATTCATGTACGCACATCGGTGCTTTTCTTTCTCTGTTACTTGCTCTGCGGTCATGAGTCCGTCTGTCGAAATCGGCGCGGGAAGTTGTTAGGTGATTGATTCTGCATCTGGACGGACTCGTGGTCCAAAGTGCACACATGTAAATCGACGCGGGAAGCTAGGTGATTGATTCTGTTTCTGGACGCAGTCGTAATCATAGTACAGTCATGTGGAGGTCAGGTGACCCACGAATAGATTGGAGCATGTCTTTATTAAAAAAAAAGAAAAAGAAAAGTGGAGGTCAGGTGATATCAGAGTACAGATATGTGGACGTCTGTTGGATGACATCGCTGATGGTTGTCTGATATAGGAGGGGTGGCTTCCTCTCTTAGAGCGTAGTACTCTCCCGCGGACACATTTCTGAATGTATCTGACTGTAATTACGACCGACTCAGGATGCATCTGCCCGCGATCACGTCCAGACTCGAGTCCAAAAGGTCCTAGTTTTACCTAGTATGCCCTCATGGTAATCGGACAGCTCGTTATTTATCTCCTATTGCCGGCATCGCCTCCTGTCCCTTCTTCTTTTTTTTTTTTTTTTTTTCGGGGGGGTTTTGGGGGTGGAGCGGTGGTCTGGAAATGTTTCGTCGTACAGACAGTAATAAGGTGTATATCCCGACAGAGGTTCGTGATGGCGCTGTTAGCGAACTAAGAGCCGCTTGAGGAACCTACGTCGAAGCTTCTGCGAACTTTCATCGATCCTTCTACGAATCTCACCGAGCCCAATTGCGAATGTATGCTTGACCCAAACCGAGCGTGCACCCAGCCGATTACTTACCCCTCGTGGATTCTGAAGTTCTTTTTTTTTTTTTTTTTYTTTTTTGGCTAACTTCATTTTTTGAATGCACTCCGCGGCGACTACGATCTTGTACCGAATTATATAGATATATAGATATATTTGTGACGATATTAGCTCTCTGCTCTTGCAGATGATGCGGCTAGCGTCGGGCCTGTACTAGCAGGCGCATGCCTTCTCTTATGGCAGATTTTAATTTTCATTTTCCTTCTTTTTCTGTTTCTGTTTCTTTTTCTTCTCCTTCTTTTTCTGTTTCTGTTTCTTTTCTTCTCCTTCTTTTTCTGTTTCTGTGTCTTTTTCTTCCCCTTCTTATTTCTTTTTTGTCTTTGCTAGCCACCGCCTCCCAATGTGGGACGGCATCTGTATATTGCGGGCCCTCTGTTGTGGTTCCGTTTATCTTGACTCTTGATTATATTTAGAGGTTGTGTTCATGTTTTGTGATTGCCTGTTAGGGTGTGACCTGCGAAGGAACATGGTGCTGTGACATTCTTCTCCCTTCTCAATGGTGTCCAGGATTGTTGTGATGGCGGTCACCGCAAGGACATGGGTTGTCCCCCCTTCCCGTGTAGTGGGTATAGTTACGGCCAGCCTAAGGTCTGCCAAACCCGGGTTGCTGCACCCATGCCCACTCACCTTTCTGTGGATGCAGAAAGGACGATGGCAGGTTTCCCGGCCTGAGCCATCGGGCCTTAAGTCCTGCTTTCCTGGGCACTTGCTGTACCGAGTAAAAATAAAAAATAAAAAATAAAAAACAAAAAATTTCAAAACTCAAAAAATTAAAAAACTTTCATAATTCTCTTTAACAAAAACATGTCGTTACCATTACAGATAAATCAGGGGGTTAGTTCATTCGGGACTCTTCCAGTTGGTGGCGCGACAGCCACAGCACCGCTTCCTTCTCTTCGTTTCACGGGGCCACAATCCCCCTTTCTCTAACCGGCAACGCGTTGACTGGCTTGCCCATTAT